CGTAATTTTGTTGCCAATAAAATCTAAAGAAGGAAGCCGATTGACTAATGAGTTAAAGACAGCAGATTCCAGGACACACGGCAAGGAAGGATACGTGCTGGCTAATTCTCTAATACGATCGGTCCAGAAGTACTATGTTAACGTTCAATAAGAAAGCAAGCCGGTTTCGAAAATTGACATGCTTATGGCTAGGCACGAGCAAGTAAGATGGTCCAATTATATACGTGTATATGGCATACACGTTTTGGGGTGGTTAATAGTTACTAATCTGTTAAAGATGCATGTATACACGTACACAAGGCTGTTGTGGGGAAAGCTTTCAGGCTCGGCCAGAGGAAGGAAAGAGGCAAGAAAATCCATGGTTATTTGCTGGTATGTGGTTGCTGGAGTCATTAACGTGCAAGGAGCTAGCACAGGATTCGGAGGATTGGCTACAGAGCAACGTATCTGTTGATATATGGATATACACTTGTTTGGCCGGGCCGCATAAGGAAATAAATCAATGGAGACGTAAAGTTTCTTGATTAACATGGAGTCCGTGTATGAGGGAAACAATCCTGGTTGCCAATGTGGTGAAGACGCAAGCCGCGCATGCATACGTACACGTCACCAGATTCTCGGATTTTTTGGTCAGACATGCAAGGAAGTAGCACGAGAGTTGCATAGCCAAGTACAGAAAATTTAGGATAAGTGCAACGTCCGTGCATATCGACCACGAAGGAAACAAGGACACATATCATGTGTATCATGTACGTGTCATGTGCAAGCGTATACATGCATAACCGGCCAGGTGTCATATTCATATATGTGCTCGGCGAGAAATGTGTCTACAACTCTTGCCGATTGAACCAGACACGTGTCGGTCAAGAAAGCTTCAACAGCAAGGATTCTATAGAAGAGAAAGCTAGAGTTCATGTATCTTAGTATTTCGTTTTATTTAGATATTTCTTTTGAGGCAAGTTTTGTACGTCATTAGCCCAGGGTATAAATATAAACCCCCGGCCAATGTATCAGGATATCCAATCAAACAATACAAATTATTTTTTCGGCTTTACGCCAACCCTTAGGAGTAGGAGTAGTGTAGATCTCGACGAGTTCTTCTACAAGCAGGGTGTCGACGAAATATGGTCGGCAGTCCACCGAGGGGGTGCCCGTGGTGGTAGATTGTCGATAGACGTTGCGTGTAATCAGGAACCAGATGGTGACACAAGGCGCAGAGACAACGATTTAGACAGGTTCGGGCCGTCTGGTCGACGTAATACCCTACGTCCTGTGTCTTTGGTGTATTGTATTGAGATGTATACAGATTAACCTGTCCTCTATGGGACCCTTGTCTCTCCTTATATACTCCGAAGAGACAAGGTTACAAGTAAAGTATCCAATTTGGTACTATTACAATATCTAGTACAACTTGTAATCTTGATGTGAACGCCTTGATCTTACGGGTCGGGCCACCTCGGATGGTGCGGCCCATGTACCATCTTGTGGTACCCGGGGGTATACCCCCCACAGCTAGTCCCCGAGCGCCATGTATTCTGATGCGACACGTCATTTTAACCTTCTCCGAACAGTGAGGCTTGAGTTCTTGACATCTCCGACCACCGTTGTCGCCGGAGAAGTAGGTTGTCGAAGAAGAATGTATGGTGCTCTTAAGAAGAAAAAAAATATTTCCGTCTGTGAAGTGTGCCCACTTGTATTTCTAAAAAGAAATGTAAGTGCGTCTTAAAGCGTAGCATCCTTGATCATCAGAGGCGTAGGGGTCGAAAAACAAACACATTCACCGCAAGGTGAAGTGTGCCCACTTAGTCCCCGAGCCTGGTAGTAGGTGACGTAGGCACGTGGTGCCAGGGTCTAAAAAGAATTCCTAGTTAAGTTGAGAAGCGAATCGTCGTACAAGCGATACAAGATGCCGGCGGTGCATCGTACCGATGTAGTCCCCGAGCTTCTTTGGAAGGCGAGGTATGAGCCTTGTAGCAAGGTCTAAGTGAGAAAAAATATCCAAGCTGTATGCGAGTCGCCGATCGCATGTAGTCGACGCATAAAGTCCCCGAGCCGTGGTCGGAGAGTAGTCGGCGAGTCCCGAACATCTGTCGTCGAGGAGCGAGCGACGAAGTCCCCGAGCCGTGGTCGGAGAGTGGTCGAGGCAGTCCCCGAGCACAAGTCGAGGAGCGAGCGACGAAGTCCCGAGCTGTGGTCGGAGAGTGATCGAGGCAATCCCCGTGCGTGAGAAGCGAGCGGCGAAGTCCCCGAGCTGTGGTCGGAGAGTGATCGAGGCGATCCCCCGACCGTAGGTCGAGAAGCGAGCGACGAAGTCCCCGAGCTGTGGTCGGAGAGTGATCGAGGCAGTCCCTGAGCACAGGTCGATGAGCGAGCGACGAAGTCCCCGAGCATAGCTCGAAATTACTGTAATATAAATATGTAGAATGGTAGTATACGATGTACAAAGTAATAAATTATGGAGAAAAAATCAACGGTGAAGAAACAACGCTCAGCAGTCATTTGCAAATGAGTATGATGTGATAAAGCAGTTGGTGCTTTGTAAACATCAGTGTTAATATGAAGTTTGTGTTTATACTTAATATAAACCGCCCGACCAGTTAGTATGTAGCTGAGTCTCCAGCCCTAGTTAGCCCGTTAACCATAACGCGGGGCGCGGAGCCCGTGCACGTGTAGGAAGAACAAAGCGTCGCTAAGGAGCCGCTGCCGACCACCCATAACGTAGAGGGCAGACGCTCGTGCACGTGTAGGGAAGAGCCGGAGACAGGGCCTTTTCTGGAGACATCGAGCGTCAACATGACTGGTCGAGGATTTGCATTAAGTATAGTTGTATGTTATATTTAAGATTGTATACATGGACAAACGTTATTTGAAGAATAATCATGGCGAGGACGCTGTGGAGAAACGTCGTGATGAAAATTGTATTAAATATAAATATTAGAAGTGTACTTATCTTTGGATAGAAATCTGGTCGGCGGTGATGAAGTTGTCCGGTCCTCGAGCTTTCCGGCCTGTCGTCATGACGGTGGTCGCGGTTGTCGTAGCGCCGTTCTTCACGGCGATCATTATTGCGACGTGGTCTGGTGGTCGGAGGTCGGCGGAGCTGCTCGGGACGTGGTCGACGTGGTCGGAGCTCGGCAGAGCTGCTCGGGACATGGTCGACGTGGTCGGAGCTCGGCGGAGCTGCTCGGGACGTGGTCGACGTGGTCGGAGCTCAGCGGAGCCATTTGGCATGGCTCGCTAGTCGGCTCGCTTGATAGCTCGGCGTGGCTCGCTTGACGGCTCACCGTGGCTCGACGCGGCTCGCCGACGGCTCGACGTGGCTCTCCGACGGCTCAGCGTGGCTCGCTCAGCGGCTCACCTGATAGGTCGGTGCACGGAGTCGCGATCGGACGAGACAGATGGGCGTACGTGGTCGGAGCATGTCTGATCGGAGTTGTAGCGATGCCATGATGGTTGCGCAGCTCGTGTATGCTTTGTAGATCGTCCAAAGGCCCTCGTATTTGGAGTAGGAGAAGCACACGGAGTCCTTCAAGATTGTTGCTTATTTGCATGGCCGAGAAAATCGTGTACACCTTGGACGGTTAGATCCTGTAGATGCGTATGTATGCGCTATTGATTGCTTCAAAGACACGTAATCACGTGTTCATCTTCCTTGCTTGCCATTGGCTTGCATGTACACGGACTCATTGCCTGCCCGATTGGTGCATGTGCGTATGTGTGCGAGAGGTAGGAAAGGCAGGCCCAAGTGAGCAAACGCTGCCAAGGCCTCGGCTCGGATCGCACGTCAGGAGCGTCGAGAACCGTGTCTGACCCTGCCTTTGGATCGACGTAACACCGTATCGGATCTATATGGTTCTTCTGACTCCATCGTGCATACGCCCAGCGTATGTGAAACTGGGGGATCGTGATTGAGATCTCCAGACGTTTGATGTTGACATTGTTGCCGTCGTTGAAACCGGGAAGGCGACACCTCGAGTCGAACGGAACGAGATGAATTCTTCAGCTGGAGCGATGGATGCTGGAGATGCAAAGCGAGGCCGACGAACACTAGGGCTGTTGTTCTTTGCACCGAGTAGAATTGCGGGAACCCCATAGGTTGTTGTCGTCGTCGTCGCAAGATCTCGCCACGTTAAGCCGAGTTGCCGTGCATGATGTTGATGAAGAAAATCGCCATCTGATTCGCCGGAAGATTAGCACGCACAACCCCTAAAGGGGTCCCCTACCTGGCGCGCCACTGTCGACGAAATATGGTCGGCAGTCCACCGAGGGGGGTGCCCGTGGTGGTAGATTGTCGATAGACGTTGCGTGTAATCAGGAACCAGATGGTGACACAAGGCGCAGAGACAACGATTTAGACAGGTTCGGGCCGTCTGGTTGACGTAATACCCTACGTCCTGCGTCTTTGGTGTATTGTATTGAGATGTATACAGATTAACCTGTCCTCTAGGGGACCCTTGTCTCTCCTTATATACTCCGAAGAGACAAGGTTACAAGTAAAGTATCAAATTTGGTACTATTACAATATCTAGTACAACTTGTAATCTTGATGTGCACGCCTTGATCTTACGGGCCGAGCCACCTCGGATGGTGTGGCCCATGTACCATCTTGTGGTACCCGGGGGTATACCCCCCACACAGGGCTGCATCGGTCCGGTCGACCTCCGGCTTGTCTGTAAGTACCATCATGGCTTATGCTTTGATTTGTAAGGCTACATCGGTTAAGTTCGACCTCCACTGCAAGCTCTAGCATAAGCTAGCTATCGATCTTCATCTAGTTCAAGTACGGCTACATCGGTTAAGTTCAATCTCCACTGCTCGAATTAGATTAAGGTCAAGTTATCGGCTCTACCTAAGAGTGGCATCCTTCGGGTAGATTCATTAAGTTACCGATCAAGAAGGACGCTAGGTACGTCAACGAGTTCAACAAGAGGGAGGACGTGCCGTACAAGCTCGGCCTCAACCAGTTCTCCGACTTGACCGACGAGGAGTTGGACAGCGGCATGTTCACCGGAGCCTTGCCCGAAGACGCCGGCAACGTCAGCCTCAGCAGTGGCATGACCGACGACGATGAGCTGCTGGCTTCTGCCGCCGGCAAGGTGCCGGCCAAGTGGGACTGGAGACACCACGGAGCTGTCACCCCAGTGAAGAACCAAGGACATTGCGGTGCGTATATATATAGTTTCCATGCATGTTCTGGCTTCTTTTTTTCTTTTTTGTATATATACGTATATATAACTTTTCCTACGCATGCATTAATCTAAATACGTGATATATCTATATATCAACTTACAATAATTTAATTAGAGAACTATTCCATAGTAAATGTTAAAAATCTGTGGTGTATGCATGCATGCAGGGAGCTGTTGGGCTTTCTCGATGGTGGCCTCTGTCGAGGGCATCAACGCAATCAAGAGAGGGAAACTGCGGACACTGTCGGAGCAAGAGGTGCTCGACTGCTCCGGCGACGGGAGCTGTAAAGGTGGGCACACGTACGAGTCATTCGATCATGCCATCAAGCACGGGTTAGCCTTAGACCAGCACGGGAATCCTCCGTACTACCCTGCCTACGTTGCCCAGCTCGTGTATGCTTTGTAGATCGTCCAAAGGCCCTCGTATTTGGAGTAGGAGAAGCACACGGAGTCCTTCAAGATTGTTGCTTATTTGCATGGCCGAGAAAATCGTGTACACCTTGGACGGTTAGATCCTGTAGATGCGTATGTATGCGCTATTGATTGCTTCAAAGACACGTAATCACGTGTTCATCTTCCTTGCTTGCCATTGGCTTGCATGTACACGGACTCATTGCCTGCCCGATTGGTGCATGTGCGTATGTGTGCGAGAGGTAGGAAAGGCAGGCCCAAGTGAGCAAACGCTGCCAAGGCCTCGGCTCGGATCGCACGTCAGGAGCGTCGAGAACCGTGTCTGACCCCGCCTTTGGATCGAGGTAACACCGTATCGGATCTATACGGTTCTTCTGACTCCATCGTGCATATGCCCAGCGTATGTGAAACTGGGGGATCGTGATTGAGATCTCCAGACGTTTGATGTTGACATTGTTGCCGTCGTTGAAACCGGGAAGGCGACACCTCGAGTCGAACGGAACGAGATGAATTCTTCAGCTGGAGCGATGGATGCTGGAGATGCAAAGCGAGGCCGCCGAACACTGGGGTTGTTGTTCTTTGCACCGAGTAGAATTGCGGGAACCCCATAGGTTGTTGTCGTCGTCGCCGCAAGATCTCGCCACGTTAAGCCGAGTTGCCGTGCATGATGTTGATGAAGAAAATCGCCATCTGATTCGCCGGAAGATTAGCACGCACAACCCCTAAAGGGGTCCCCTACCTGGCGCGCCACTGTCGACGAAATATGGTCGGCAGTCCACCGAGGGGGGTGCCCGTGGTGGTAGATTATCGGTAGACGGTGCGTGTAATCAGGAACCAGATGGTGACACAAGGCGCAGAGACAACGATTTAGACAGGTTCGGGCCGTCTGGTCGACGTAATACCCTACGTCCTGCGTCTTTGGTGTATTGTATTGAGATGTATACAGATTAACCTGTCCTCTAGGGGACCCTTGTCTCTCCTTATATACTCCGAAGAGACAAGGTTACAAGTAAAGTATCAAATTTGGTACTATTACAATATCTAGTACAACTTGTAATCTTGATGTGCACGCCTTGATCTTACGGGCCGAGCCACCTCGGATGGTGTGGCCCATGTACCATCTTGTGGTACCCGGGGGTATACCCCCCACACAGGGCTGCATCGGTCCGGTCGACCTCCGGCTTGTCTGTAAGTACCATCATGGCTTATGCTTTGATTTGTAAGGCTACATCGGTTAAGTTCGACCTCCACTGCAAGCTCTAGCATAAGCTAGCTATCGATCTTCATCTAGTTCAAGTACGGCTACATCGGTTAAGTTCAATCTCCACTGCTCGAATTAGATTAAGGTCAAGTTATCGGCTCTACCTAAGAGTGGCATCCTTCGGGTAGATTCATTAAGTTACCGATCTTGCTGATGTTCTTATTGCTATTAGTTTTCAGCAACATCAACCTGCCCGATCGAGATCGATCTAGATCGGTCTCACATCCTTTTAGTCCGTCGTTTGCTTTGTTATAATACGATGTTTCTTACTTTGAGCGACGGGTTATATTTCATCGACTGTTCTACTTCGATCCTGATCATGCATAGTACGCGGTTAAGACATGTCTGATCTTGAGGAGGTTTACTGGCTAGTCAAATTTGGTCTATGGTTCGCTATTATGGCTGTAACGATTCGGTCGATCCCCACTGCTGGCACTTTAGATCAGAGGATGCTAGTTGGTAGATTTATTTTCTATCAGGCGTGACCTTGACTGTTTGCTATGCCTGCATTGGCTAAATAGCCGATCGCCCGCACTTTAACACCTACAGTGTCTCTCTGTGATTCTGTTAAATGTGAATAGATCTGTTTACTTTGAAGGTTTGATTTGTTGTCTTTATTACGGCTGCCATCGATCCGGTCGAACCCCACTATTAGAGATAGCAAGTTAAGTCTGATGAGTTCATAGATTTGTTCATGTTAAATAGTCGATTATTCACACGCTATAGTCCCTTTTTCCACCTGAATCGGCTATTTCAGCCGATCCACTTAGCTTTCACACATATAGCATGTCTTTCGAAAAGCCTGTTAATGTATAGATGGTTTTACGGATTCTTCGGTTTTAGTTTGTTATTATCATCATAGCTGCCATCGATCCGGTCGAACCTCACTGTTGATGGTAACATATTAGATTCAGAGCGTTTGTAGATCCATTTATATTAGACAGTCGATTTGTTTGCATGTTATATCCTTTTTCGTTAGATTCATCGGCTCAATGCTTCACACTGGTAATATGCACATAGCCGATGATTTTACTTACATCTGCGTACATTATAAAATCAATCACGACTTACGAGCTTTACAATCTGTAACAGCCGATTTCTTCGCGTATCGGCTATTTAGTCGATTTTCCCGTCTGGAAGCGGCACACTTGGAACTGTCTGGGTAAGACCGGCATGTTTCACCTTAAATTACTGATAAACTTTCTCTCCTTGTCAATTGCAGGTTCAATTGACTGGCACGTCTCGGTAGGAATTCGCAGGGTCGACGGGTCCTGCGATTGAAGCCAAGCGGATGTCCGGGCTTATCCTAAGCAGATCCTTTTGACTTGCTGTGTGTCAGACGTATCGACACGTTTTTGCGCCGACAGGAACATTGCAACATCTCGCTCAAATATCATTTTTTTATAGTACAACACACGTTCAAACACTCGAATTATAATACACGGGCACGATCCTAATTGATCAAAAGATTTAAATCCTAGTGTCCACGTTTAGGCACGCATAACATGTGTTTAATATAAAATTCGGGCCAGGTTCACGGATACAGTGATACATGGCCGTGGTCTACATCTGTTAGTACGTTGGGCATGTGTGCTAATTAATGAACCACTAACGCCGTGTGGCGTGGCGTGTGCGTGTTGCTGGCTGCGTGGTGTACACACTGACTTTATTACTAGACCACGTGCAAAGTGCTGCATGAATCGTTCATACACGTATGCATACGTATGATCACTCACGCAAGTGCATACATGACAATATGGTGATGGATACAATCAAAATCTGCCTAACAGCGCGTGGCGGCGGCATACCGGATCCTAATTACACTACTGTAAAAAAAGATTTTTAGACGCAGTCAAAATCAAGTTTTTGAAGCTGTTCTAAAAACCGACACTGTGCCACCAAAAATAGTTCATTTCTAGGGGCGGATCAATGAGCGACTCTAAAATAGCATTTCTAAAAGCCACTAATACACTAGTGCTTTCTTTTGACGCCACTCTTTTTTTTCACTGGCGGTTTGAAAAGAGCAGACGACGGTAGAGCATTTACACTGGCAAATCCTGTAAGAAAATCGCCAGTGTTAACGGCCTATCTACACCGGCGGCTTGGTTACATAAACGGTCTGTGTAAATGAACATTAACACTAGCGGTTCTCTTATGTGAACCGCTATGATTATGTTTTACAGTGGTAGTTTTTTATGTGAAACGCCTGTAATACATCTGCTATAAATACTACTTCTTCCTCCCCCGACCAACACTGTTCAACTGAGCCACCTTCCATTGGTGGCGAACTTGGAGGATCAAAAATTGCCAAATACAAGGGGGAGGTTTTGCTCTTCATTTCTTCAGAGGAGGTGGCTTAAGAAGGTTAGTTAATGCCTTTCATAGCTCTTTTTGCATTAGTGCTTCTCACTTTGACGAACCGCCTATGAAAATGTGTTAACACTGGCGCATCTTAGGTAACCGCTTGTAGTATTTTCGTTTTCCACTGGCCTATCACACTGGCGGTGGGTTCAGACGCCAGTAGAAATGGCTCTGAAACCGCCAATGCTAAGCTCCGCTATACTAGTGAGCGTTTGTGTTAAGCCAACCGATACTAAAAATCATATCTAGGGACGGTTTCATTGTACAAACCATTCTTAAAAAACGCATGTATAGAATCGGACGGTCTTAGTGAAAGCTCTAGTTTGGTTTTGGCTAATTGATGAAACCCTAGGTACTAACCTTTGGCTCTAAGTGAACATGAGATAGGTTGGTACACACCAAGCATTGGAGTAATTGGATGATGATCATGATGATGGTGATGGCCATGGCGATGATCAAGTGCTCAAGCTTGGAGAAAAAAAGAAAGAGAAAAACAAAATGGTTCAAGACAAATGTATATTTGATAGGAGCATTTTGCTTTGCCACTCAAGACACCAAGAGGTGTGAGTGGGTTTAGGATAGATAGCCATACTATTAAGAGAGGTGAAACTCGTCGTGAAATTCGATTATCAAAGTGCCACTAGATGTTCTAACTCATTGCATATGCATTTAGATTCTAGTAAGTGCTAACACCATTGAAAATGCTTTGTGAAAATGCTAACACACATGCACAATGGTGATACACTTGTTGGTTAGCACTTGGGAGCAAGGGTGGCGAAGTTTGAGAAGAGGAGCTGTTTTGTAGGACCGGACCCTAGGTCTCGGGAGGACCGGACCCAGGTGGGAGAGTCCAGTCATTGTCCTCAGTCTCGGCCTAACCTTCTGGCCGAACCAGACCCTGGTCGCAGGGATGACCAAACCCAGGTTTGAGGGCCCGGTTGAGGCGATGTCTGGGCGTAGTGGCGAGCACAAAGAGGATTGGACCCTGGCTGGGTCCGGTCAGGGTGCACCGGACTCGATCCGACGGCCCTAGAACCTCTCGATGTGGATTTCATCGCGATCGGACTCAGGGGGCGCAGAGCGACCTGTTGGTTACCATAAAAAGGGGTACCCTAAGCAAAGACCAAAAAAATTGCTTAGGACTTGTAAATACCGAAGCCAAAATACAACCGCAGGCAAACCCCCATTTCATCCGAGGCCCGGCTAGATCGGTCGGCCCACCTCAAACAACATCTAGGCACGACCGAAGCAGGCTCGGCCCAGAACCATACCACGAGGCCTCGCACGAGGTATCGATTCTTCGACTCGCTCGAGGCCCCACGCCACGAGGCCTCGGACGAGTCACCGATTCTCCAACTCGCTCGAGGCCCCGC